GAAGTCCTTTCACGTATTTACGGTAGTATTCACAGATTTGACGTCATTTAGGACTCGTAAAATATTTGACAAATTTTTTTCAAGAATTATACGACTTTCAAGAGTCGACTTTCTTTTAATGTAAAAATCATTATTCATCACTTTTGTCACTTTTTAACGTCGAGTTCTTTGCCCCAGATACAATACCCGTCAAACTTCTTTTCTTGCCCATTTATATTTCTTTTTCATTTCGAAGTAGAGATATCTTCTCAATTTATCTTGCTTGAAAATATTTGATATTTGTACAGTTTTAATCATTTGTCTTTTATGATAATAAGAGTAAATTTTATGATAATAAGTAAAGTTGAAGCAGATATATCACACAACACAGTACCAATTTCTCATCGAAAAGTAATCACTCCAACTTTTGTATTTTTCTTCCGCTAGAAAATCGTTTATAATCCGGGTCAAACATTTCTATTAAGCTTAATTCATTTTTAATTACTTCTCACGGTCGCGACGTAAGCGAAAGTGCGCAAAAATAAGCCGCTCGTGAAATAGCCAGCACCAGACTGCCTTCGCTGCTCCATGCGACTTGCCCCGACTGATTTTTCGAGTATGTCCGACCTGTCAACGGCCTGATGGAACGGGGAAAGACTCCAAGAAAAACGCACGATCGCTAAGTTAGAAATGAATCATCAGTCGGTTCGTAAGGCTACCGTTGACGATTAATTCTTCCGCTCGTTATTACGGTCGACGGCCGATAGATTGGTGTGCGTGAAGGAAAAAAGCTTTTACGCCACATTTTTGTGTTCAGGACGAACGATCGTTTCGGATCGGCAGCGCTTGGGATTGCAGCGATGAAAATTTGATCGTCGGAGAGAAAGAGAGAGAGAGAGAGGGAGAGAGAGAGAAAGAGAGAGAAAGATAGAGGATTCCCACGTGGTGCTTTCACGGCAATTTGGAATTTCGTGTAGGCCCGTTATTCTTTGCGACAGAAATAACTCAGGGCACCCCATATGAACGTAGTCTGACAGCACAGTGTGTAAACACCTCGTAGTCAACCAATCGGTCGAACCACTGGGAATAGATACTTCAAAAAGTCCAGATACATCTTCACAAGGCAAGAAAAGAGTTCGTAGATTTAATATTCTGTGTTAAATATAGCAATTGAGCGACGAATTGAATTTCCGAAAGAAGTAAAATATAAATTTCAGACAATATAGTTTTAATTTAAGCCATTTATTCCAAGTCGATTGTAATTCAGTCATCGCGAAGTTATCTTAAAATGCCAATGTAAAAAAAGTCTATTTTAAATTGATTTAAAAGTTTATTATATGAAAGTTAAAACTTGGGAAATCGATGTATAATATTGTTATGTTCTATAATATTATATCGCAATTGTTGAAGTTTTGTGGAGCAAAGATTTTCTTTGGCGATTTAAAACTTTTCAAGTTTAGTGTACCTTTCGAAAGAGTTCTATTCACGATCGTTCGACTAAGTTTTCAAGGAAGCTCGCGTTTTTATGCTGCACACGCTGCACGCGCTGCTTTTACGTGTCGCAAAATAAATTTCCTTGTCGTATTCCCGCATTTACTGTCGCGTTTACTGTTTGCGGTCGCGCACAGCAGCTTCAGAAACGTTTACGAAGTGCGGATTTACGAATGTCGGTTCCTACGAATCCTCTGTGACGCTCGGACGACGATCATAAGGAGATTTTATCGTTACGACATTGTATCTCCGTACATAACATGAAACGTTATATCTTAGCTTGTCGTCGTTTATTTCTCGTCCGAGATATCTCGAGCGTGACTACTTAAAATGTCTACATCAGTTGTCTGACTTATAATGGCAACAGCTTTTCGTACGCAGAAAAACTTTCTCTTTTCAGATCTTCAAGTCGTTTAAAAACTTCTTTATCGATATCTATATATTATAGAGTGATTCAGAGTTATTTTTACATTTGAAAATGTTTCCTTCCTATATTTTTAAGCACAATACAATTTTAAATTTAATTGTTTAATCTTCTTTAAAATTAAAATCAATTAAAATTTAATTTTTATCATTGCATAAAAATATTTGAGTGGAACACCGCACACGCGATTTCTATCGCGTATAAATATAAGATAGAAAATTTTCAAATTGTTAATTTATTATTTTTGAAGACGTAAGTATCAATGGAAAAGGAATATCGGAAAGTCGTTTTATCGTCGTTGCGAAGATTCGCTGTATTGCGTTTCAGAATATCGTCTACATTTCTACCGCTAGCTGCGATTGTTCTGCAATCTTCGTTCTGCAATCAAAGACTAACGGGAAGAAAAATGAAAGGATTAAGTGAAGCACGAAACGAACGTCGCCCACGTTACGGCGAAACTCGATTTTGTGACGAGGAGAAAAAAAGAATTCTAATTGTACTCAACTCAGTCGTTGCAGCGTATAGCGCAATAAAAGGGTCGGCAATAAAAGGCAGCGAGGCAGCTAACGGTGAAGAGGTATTTTTATGGGAGACGTGCTGTTACTGTCCCGATTTTCTCGAGCAAATGTCTCAATGTCCACGCAGGATGGCAGTTGATAAATGCACGCGCAATTTGACGCGGTTCGCGAGTCCTTTCCTTTACGGTACCTATCTTTATTCCACGTTCGTATTCACACACGGTTTGCAATATACACTCCTCGTGTTTCCTCCCGTGCATTTAGATTCTACGCTCTGAACTTCTATTTCGAAAAAAAACAACATCAAGAATGGGAGCGAATGTTGACTTGAATGTGAAAATATATAGAAAATAATATGCTGAAGGAGAAAATTTAATTTTCATAAATTAAGAGCGTGGTAATATAAATGATAAGCGTGGTAATATTACGAGATTGTAATATTTGCTTTCATGATGCATTATTCTGTTACGTTATTTAAAGGATCGCAGAGGGGGGGGGGGGGGGAAATTACTCCCCCAGCGACAATTCCCGAATAAATCTGCGTTCGCGATTTAGGCAGATGGTAATCGCGAACAGAACAAAAGAAAAACCGCGTCCGCACTCCCAACCAAAGCCTCCATTGCGCCGGCAATGTAAACATCTGATATATATAGCGGCGAGAGAAAACGGCGAAAAGTTTTAGCGAGTGCTTCTGACAATCTTTAAATGACGCTTGATGGGACGTATGTGTCAGAAAAAATTGTTTTTTAAGAAAATAATAAAGTAATTAATTAATTTTTGTTGCAATTTTTAATTTTTTTATTGAAAATTTGTTTTTTTTTTTTTTAAGAAAGTAATAAATAATAAATTAGTCTTTGTTGTAACTTTTTAATTGACTTCATCGAAACTTACGGTATTTATAGTTCTTTTTTAGTTTTGTTATATTTTACAAGCACACAAGTAGCGACTATAATATGGTCCTCTTTTGAATTGATATACTTGTAGTTTAAAATGCTCGTGACGTTTTTAATGAAGTTGTGAAATAGCGCTTTTGCGGTTGTAACTTTCTACCATAGAAAACCGTGAAGTTACCAGCTACAATATCTTTTAGGGCACCATATAACTGGCGCAGACATTTTCAATTTTTCAGAATCAGTCTGTAACGTGATTTCATCTCTTGTTCCTGTCGTTGTTTTCTTCTCTTTCCTTTTCATTTCTGCCGTAGAAATTCTTTATGTCCGCGGATATCTTCGGGCACGTTTCCGGGACAGAACGAGAGATCGGAGATCGGTTATTTTTCTTTCTCTTTACGCCGAGATAACCTCGAGTTTTCTTAGTTCTGTCCGCTTTATTGCCTCGCCTCGTCCGTCTTCTTCTTACGCCCGTAGCAACGCGTACGAGTGAAACGCGCCCTTCGATTCTAATAGAACATCGTAAAACCGCGACGACGTCGTGAAAACTGCAGAAGACGATGCAGCGGGTAACATTCTTCAGCGAGCATTCTTGGTGTGTTCGGGAGATCGTCGCTTTTCCAATTTCTTCGAACTTCACATTTCTCGACTTCCACTTTTTCTATGCTGATTTTTTGCAGGGAATGTGCCGGACATGTGAGAAATATCCACGAGGAAAAATAGATGACTGGACAACTTCGTTGTGAATAACCCGCCTTTCTTGATTAAAATATTCTAGGATGAAAATCGCGCGCCATGTATAATAGTTTAACTGGTTTTTATTAATAAGCTCCTTGTTTGTTCATTCATTATAAATACACGCTAATTATCGTGATAATGATTCCAATAGTCGAAGAATTTAGCCAATATAATCGTTGATTGTTCCATTAATCACATTAAGGTCAGTTAACCGATATTGATATTCGATTTAGTTTTTTAATTTAATAAATTTTTCTTTTTCGTTTGTCCTACTTTTAGAAAGAAGTCTTATGCTAAAAATAAAGCGACGAAACCAAACGTTAACAATCTAATATGTGTCATCACATTATTAGACTTAAGTAAACAGAGATCACAAAAATCACAAAGATACACCAATAACCGTAATATTACTTTCTCAGTAACCGTTAGGTTAGTAAGGGCACATCTAGACACTTTTTGAACCAGAGGACCGAGACGTCAGCCCATCTTGCTGTCATCATTGGCTTCTTCCCTTTTCGAACGTAAAAGCTTCTTTCCTATCTTCTCTCGTTCCACCCTTTTTCTCCCTAAGCTTCGCTATGTCACGTCAAATCAAGTTTGACCCTCGCTTTTCTTTACACCGCATCCGTACGAAAAGAAAGACAGGAGGTTTCTTTGGCACATACCTTTTTCTTCTTCTTCCTCTTCCACCTTCGTGATTTCTTTTTATTCACCTTCCCCGTCGTGTTCGTCGTCGTCGTTATCTTCGTCGTCGCCGTTGTCTTCGTTATCGTTATCCTCTTCTCTTCATCCTATCCTCCTCCTCCTCCTCCTCCTCCTCCTCCTCCCCTTCCTCCTCTTCCTCCACCTTCTTTTCTTTCTTTCCGCGGCCACGGCCGTGCGGAATTCGAACCAGGGTTCGATTTGGCGGCACCCGGTTGGAGCTGGTCGGCATTACTGCGTTAGAGTAGACTGTTCGCACCCAAAGTCTACCTCCTTCTCAACTTCTCTCCGTCTTTCTCTCTTTCGTCTCCTCAGCCCTCCGCCTCTTTCCCTTCTCCATTCTCTCTTTCTCACTCTGTTGTCCACAGTTTCCTTCGCTCTCACTCTCTTTCTCACGTTTTTCCCTTCCCCTCCTTTATCTCTCATTCTCGCTTTCGTAAACGCTCCGTGACCAGTCTCAATTTTCTCTTTTTCTCTCTCCCGCTATTTTCCGGCGATGCCACTCTCCCACCTCGAGATCTTTTCTCTCTCTTTCTCTTTCTCGCTTCTTGGTCTCGTTCCATCTCTCTTCTTCTTCACACCAGCCGGTTCTCCGTCTTTTTTTCTCTTACGAACCGCAGGCGCTATCTTACCGATCTAAAATTACCCTAGAAACGCCGTTTTCCTTCTCTTTCTCCCTCCTTCTAATATCGTCCTTTCCTACCGCTTTTCCTCCCGCGACTTTCAACATGCCGGCTTCCGCTATGGACGCGTAACTTGCCTCTCTGAGGTGAGCGACTCATTCCTGAGTAGGATCGGTTACTTAAATCAGATTTAGAGATCGATATTTAGATTTGCGATAGATATTATCGTAGTGTGTTGATGAATTCGGTGACAGGCGACGAGTCGATCGGTAATCGGAAAATAATTTGTAGGAATGAAGAATGAGAAAAATGATTTTGAAGATAAAGTGAAACAGTGAGATCAGCGTGCGGTGTTTTTTCACTATTTATTTTTAAAGCTTTGTTTTACACTAATAAAGTTACCTGTGCAGTGAAGTAAACAAAAAGTTAGATTAATAAGGTGCAAAAATAACGAGATTTATTAAATATAGATTTAAAGAAATAAATATAGATTATTTATTAAATAAGTGTACAGAAGCAAAAACTACCAAGTTATTCTCTTTCGGATATTAAACGATAATAATTTTTATCGTAATTTTTACCGAAGAAAAGCGGATTAATAATCTTAAATTTAATCTCACTTTAACATTAATTTTATTTTGAATGGGTTGATGATTTAAGAAGTTGGATTTCACAGATTTAAAATAGTTGCAATGTATGATATTGTCTCATCACATTTCTATTAAAATACGATCGTTTTTACAATTTTTAAGGTACCCGTAGCAATCAATTTTTGAGTTTATTCAGATAATTCCTATGCAAAAGATAAAATCACAATGGTCAAGATCAGTCCGTCAGCGAATCGTTTTCTCGTGCGTGCAATTCGCGACGGTAGCCACCGTTTTTTTTAATGGTCTCTGCAATTTTATGCCTTAAAGTGTCGTAAACGTCGCAGCTGACTTATGGTTATAAAAGATGCGGAAAGGTACGCACGCTATGTAAATTCCTGCTGCGCGTTTCATGCACCATAAACTTATAAATGACCGGGGGGGACAGTTCGCTCAATTCGTAAGCGTTTACCTTCGACTATGTCGCGTATTTATTAACAACGATCCAATCAATCTTTGGTACTGTTCCAAATTCGAATAATGGAAATATTTGTACGTTCCATTTTTAAACTCGCAACGCTGCGGACGGCCCGTGTGTTTATGTTTCCTTTACTATACATGCATTGCAGTACGTTGCAACGCTCACGCAGCAGCATTTGATACATATACAAATTGTAAGATCACAGACAGATAGCATAATAAATCATTATCATTGAAGTTCGAGAAACACAAATAATTCTGCATTTTATAAATATTAGTTCTATCGCGTTGCAGTCACGGCTGTTAGAGCTGAGTCTTTATTTCATAACAGCGATCAGTTTTCACTTCACCAAGCCGAGGTCCGAGAAAAAAATTCAACAATCGTCAATTCAACGAAAGCATGTGTGTGAAGCCGGATTTTGCTTTATTTGCAGTTTGCATTATTTCCGTGGTTCGCGTCGCGTCGCATGGAGAAGCTCGATCGCAGAGGCAATTCCCATCGTGTTCCGCGCTTCGGACTTCTATATCTGGCCCGGGCCAACACTGTTCTGCGTTTGGCCAAATAAAATACCACAGGCTTTCCAAAAAGAGGTTCAAGATCGCTCGTCCGTTTGGCTAGAGTTCGCGCAGTGATCTCGATTTAGGCGTGTGACATATTTCCGTGCAGCTTCTGGCTACACGTATCTGGACGCACCTGTCACACCTCCTCTCTCCGTTCTCCTGTTCTCTGCCCTCCCACTACAGTGGAATCCGAGTATCGTATCTGTGGCCGACGAGGATCCACTCCGACCTGCGATTCACGCGCATATCCGCGTGTTACTGCGCGGCCTACATCCGCGGCTAAATCCACGGAGACTTCGGCTCGGTGACGAATGGATCATTCGTGTGGATTTCCGCGCGATTCCGGAAAATTAGCAGCCTATACTGTCTTAATGCGATTTAGTTTCATAGTGATGATGCAATTAAAATTTATGGCAATGAAATGCATTGTTTAAATGTAATATTTATTGTGTATAATAATTGTGAGAATTATTATGATTTTTTTTTAAGAAAGCGAAAATATTTTTTGATGAAAATATCGTTTTTCCAATTTTATTCTTTCCTTGGGAAAGTTTTGAGTCAAGTAAAAAGACGCAATTTTTAAAAATTGAAATATAAAACAGCAAATAATAAATTCACGTATTAATTACAATATTATTGTTATTTTGAATCGAAGATGATGGGGATTATAAAAAAAGAGACACGATTATAATTTTGATTAAGGTTAAACACATAATTTAAGATGCAGTAGCATTAAGTATCACTAAATCGATGCTCAATTAATAATTGTGATATTATTATTTCAGTTTATGATTGCGTTTCAAGTCCGGCAGTAAGCGGCGCCAGTTTGTATAAATAAAAGATTTACAATAGAATTTACATATAAAAATTAGATATCTATATGCAAGATCTAACTTCGATTGTATTAACTTTTTCTCACTTGTTTAAATATGTTCACAAATTGTGGCTGTATAAATTTTATAAATCGCAACCAATATCTTTTCGAGAAATAAACATCTAATTTCGTCTTATTTTCAAGCGCATTGATCTTCCTGTGATTTGAGCGAGCGCCAAACGAAATGACTCGTAACAAAAATTCCAGGCGTTTCCGCGCGATTGGCAAAGATTTTTATAGCAAAAAAGAATAAAGAAAATCACGTCGTAAACCTAGAAATTGCGAGTTTCACCGTGACATGCAACAAAGTTGCACGAAGTTTGATCGAGTGCGCTGGTTTCCGCAAACGCGGTGGTCGCTGAAATTTCCATTATTACACGTTCAAGTACCCGCCAACGACGTACATCGTCGCGATAAGCGCGCGCGTGGATGATAATTACTTCACAAGCGGGGAAATCAGAGAAGTTTACTCCACTTGGGTATGGAGTGTGCCGATGTTACCACCGCCGGGAGTACTCGCGGGTTGCAGCTTATGCGTATTTCCATAGGGCTACGAACTTCAGTGGCACCCCAATGTTCCGCTAGCCTCACCTAGAATCAAGAAAGCAACCTTAGCGCAACTTAATCAACTTGCGTACGCAACTGGCTTTAACTCCCTATAACGTAACTGTTTCCAGTGAAAATTGGTGAAGTAGTTAAATTGCTAAATGACAGTGTAGAATACAAACTTGAATTTTTATTAACAGTTTTTATTAATAATGAAATGTAATTTAATTCTTTACATATACAAGTACTAGAAAAAATTTAGTTGTTTCTACTAAATACATTTTTCTGCTTTGTAAATAACAAAAATATTAAATATATAAAAATAAATTTGTTTATTTTTATTATTTTCATTACTAATTAAATAATTTAGCTTACATATAATTATAGTTTTATTTAGAATGTTTTAAACAAAAATTTTTGTAAATTAAGAAAAATTATTATATTGTTACAATCAAACTTTGGTTTATAAAATAAAACATTTACGAAAAAAATAATTTTCTTGGTGACAATATTATAAATGAATAGGTTATTCTACGTATAAATAATCTATGAAGTAATATTTCTTGGAACTTTTATGAAATATAAATAAAACCGATTATATTTAAAAAATTGATAATTTAAAAAAATATTTAGTATTGATACATTTTTTAATATTATTAATAACATTTAGTTTTTAATATAATTGTCGCAAATTGTTAAATATTAGTATCATTTTCCTATTCTTTTTATCCAATTAATTTCATGCAAAATTTTCAACAGCATTAAGGCTTTAAAATCTTTGGCAATTTATTTATTTTACTTTTTCTGATTGATATCTTGTGCTCATAAATGTGCTATTCTAATTGAGATTGTCAGGAAATGGTCCGATCATTCAGCCAACGTTAACCCGAGATACGCCTGTACTTTACAAGGAGTTAATTTCGTCGCGCATCGAGACACGATTTTGATGAACCCTTTCGAGCGCATTTAATTTCCTTGGGACTCTCCCTAACTGAATAGAGAAACGTCGCTTTACGAGTCGACGATTTATCGCGTGCGTGTGAGATCTATTGGGTATTCTTGTGGCAAAAGAGAAAGAAAACTTCGCGATAGCCCAGCTGGTTATTCGTCGGACATTGGATATCGTTAAAGTGGTTGCCGTCAATGTGGTCTCCGCGTAAAAGCGGTTTTTCCGCCTTCGCCTTTACGACTATCGTCGTGATCAGTTGTACGATCGTGAACGAACAAATTGGCTACGCAAGGCAGTGGATTATTTTCGCATTGAACACTTGCATTGGACGCTTTAATTCTATTTTCATAAAATTTCGTTACTTAAGAGTGTACATTAC